ATTGACAGCAATATAAATGTGGGATTCACTCTCGAAATTGCAATGAATGACATAGTGATAAAAGACCAAAATAGATGTGCATTAAAGCTAGAACTGTCACGAATCCTGTCCATGAACTTCCATCCACTTGCCACCAGAGGTCGCCCTCCCATTATATTGACTCTCACACCACACAGACTATTACACATCACCCTGGACTACATTTCCCATGCTCCATTGCGCTAATCACAAGCTCACCTGAAACCAATAACACACACTATATAAATCAGTCTCACACCACCATTCAACGCCGAGTATTGTTTAGCACTTATCGCTCATCGTGTGATAGCTACGCTACAGAGCCATTTCAGAGTTTTGTCTAGTTCCTAGTTCTAGTCTAGTCACGTCTAGTTTGGTGCCTGATTGCCTGTTTCCTGATCTCCTGCCTGTCTTAGATTCTTCTATTGCCTACCTCTCTGGACATTGTTCGCTGATCTCAGACCCACGCTAGCCTTTGGATTACTCTTCATCTTGCCTCTTCTATTACTGTTTGCTGTGTATCAACCCATGCCTGTTTCATGACGACGCCTTTTAATAAAAGCATGCAAATGGATCCGCACATCTCACGTCTCTGTCGCCCCGTAACAAGAGCACCCTCACTAATTTAAGAAGCACCCTCAGTGATTTAATTCTGGAACCAGGCCTGCCTAATTATCTTCCTTTCAAAATGTAATGCCCAGTTTTACTGCATTCAGTTCTTCTCTTAATGAAGGGAAACAAATTGTATGTAAAAAAAAAATAAAAAAGTGGAAATCTCACACACAACAGAAAAACAATATGTAAACACCTTTACTATGTTAAAAAGACCACACACAAAAAACAATAACAACAACAATTAATTTATTTTTAAATCTTTCAATTAAATCTTTTAAGTTATCATTTGCAGTCCTAATATTCATCTATAATATTTACCAAATTTTTTGGCATAGATGTTTTTACAACTTTCAAAAACCCTTACAAATAAAATTATACACATAAGAAAAAGCTGTTTTAGTTAAATTGTGTGTGTATGCACACATTATATATTTAATATCATATAATATTATATATTATAATACATTATAAATTATACTATAATTTATAAAGTATAATACAACTGCTTCATAACTTAAATATTGAATTTACAAAATGCCAAATTTTCTATTGTGTGTGATTTCTACAACTTATAATTTTGCTTCTTTCCTTAGAAGAGGACTTGCATTAAGACATTGTGAAAGGAAAATAACTGGGGCATATTAAGTACATTTAAAATTAGCTTTCATGAACCTCAAACAACAGAGCAGGGTGCTAACAACAGTAAGTCAAATTAATTTGATTCCCAATTAATGTAACAACAACTGAGATAAAACATATATCTTCAACGCGTGTAAGTTGCTTTGGAATAAACGTATCTGCATTCTGCACAATGCAAAAATGTAAAATGAACCATGTTATGCTGTGATTATAAGTATAAGTAAGCCATGACATTTCAGTTCTAAACTGTAGATTCACTATATAATATAGTTGTACAGTTTGACATTAAACTTACTGTATGATTGGGGGAGAAGGATTAAAAAAATACTATTTAGAAATATCAATATGTCAACACCAATACTCTCCTGTCACATTACCTGTCACAACAGGGAGCATCAGTTCAGCGCAGCTGGTTCGGGTTAGATATATATGGGTGTTTGACATTTCTGAAGGTATATTTTAGTGCATCTTACACAGAGGCCTCCATGTTGGAAAAACAACTCTGAGAGCCTTCATCATCTGAAATACACACACAGATGGACACACACCCATGCATACACAGAGGTATGAAGTCAGTCATTCATAACAACAGTGCCCCTCCTGTCCGGACTCTGCTGCCTCTGGGCTGTGAGGTGGAGGGGCGGAAAAAGGGCCAAGGGTTAAACACCAGCTCAGACAGGAATAATATTCCGACAAACACATACCCTCTCCCATTTACGCACATAGATACACATACACTCTCTGTTTTATCTGACTGTCCATGCTGGATGGAACGGTTGAAAAATTCAAACAACAACAAAACCTAAGCCGGGATTGTGTAACCTTGTGTGTGTTTTGGATTCACTGTCTTTATAGATTCACAATCAATCACACAGATGCCAAATTAAACCACTGCACCAATGGTGGTTAAAACTAATATAACTAGATGAAGGCAGCACTGAGGAAATGTGAACTCTACCAAAGCAAAAATAGCCTTATTAGAGACAACGAAACTGAATACGATATACGCAATACTATTTGTGACTCAAATGCAAAACACACACATGCATTTTGTTACAGTGCATGATGCTGAGATGAGAGGCAAATAAGTTGCATCATTTGGGTCAGGGGAACAAGGCAGCTCCTTCACAGAGGGAAATAATTAGGTCATTGTGGATTCCTCTCATTGGCGCAGTTCTTTCCAAATAGTTGCATCTTTCCACTCAACTTCCAGCTGCGAGTTAACTCCGTATACACCATTCTAATGAATGGGAATGTCTTCTTGTGGTCATTTACTGGTTTGTAAAATAAAAAGGGTCTTTGATTTCAGAGGATAGATGTGATTAGTCATTCTAAAATATTTTTTAACCTGACATGTTGAGTTAAAATTAATTCATTCAGACATGTAACCACTTACCCCTCATACAACTTGTATATGTATAATAGTAATATAATTAAATAGCTTATGTAAGATCTAAATTAACTTTAAAGTAACTAATATAATGTAGAGAGAGAGAAATAAGTTTATATATGCATAAATTAACATAAGACAGTAATTACAACTAATATGGTAAATTAAAACAGATAATTGGCAAATGACAAATAATTATACATGTACAAAATATTAAAAATTACAGAGCCCAGCACATGGCATGCAGGAAGAAAATAGTAGGCTAAATCGTGTACACGATTTACGATTTCGTTCCCTCGATTTATAAATTGTGCGCACGATTTACTAATTCGTTCCCTCGATTTGCTAATTTGTGCACACGATTTATAAATCGAGAGAACGGATTAGTAAATTGTGCGCACGACTTAGCAAATCGAGGGAATTAAATAGTAAATCGTGCGCACGATTTATTTATTTTTTCTTGCATGTCATGTGCGGGGCTCCGTAAAAAAAATATTTTTAAAATCATTTAAAATATATATTAGAAATTATACTATATTATGTGTATACAGTATAATCTTGCTATAAGTTTGAACGCAACATAGAATCATTGCTGTTAATAGTGTTCACCATCTGTTTGATTACATGACATTAACTAACTGCTTGATTTTTCCCGTACATTTCTGCTATATGGACATCAACATGAGATAGTCACCACTGATAAGCTATTACTAGTAAACATAATGTAGAAACTTGAATTTTCTGTAAAGCTGATTTGCAACGATGTGCATCGTGAAAAGCGCTATATAAATAACTGAACTGAATTGAATTATATTGGGACTGTCAATGGCGATAATTTACTAAATACATTTTGAAATAAATGTTGAATTTAAAAAACGCTGCATTTTCTAACAAAGGTAATCAATCTACATTTTCTGTTGTGTTGTTTCCACAACTTTGTTTCACATATAATTTTGCTTCAAGTACCTAAATTACATATAATTATAAAAATATTGCGTAAAATTAAATGTAAAAAATAAAATAAATAAATGATCATATATAGACAAACAGGAGTTATTTGATATACTTACTATATTATTTAGAAATACTATATTTTATATTTCTGCATAGTAAATAGATAAAATAGGTTAATAATTAATTAACAAAAAATCATCTAATAGCCTTAAACTTTCCTAGAAAGCCCTGAACTGGCTTCAAATACAAAACCACACCAAAGTCTAAAAATGTTAAAACTGGGTAAAAAATCAGTGTAAGATCGGTTACTAGTTTGCTGAGCTAAACAAGTCAAAACATAGGCCTAACATTCACATGGGAAAACAACAACTAAAATGCCTGAAGTGAGTTCAGTTTGAGATACTTTATGAGGGTCCAGGCTAAACCAGATGTCTGCATGAATGAAAGAAAATACGCTGATTAACCAAAGAATCCCTGCTGTCTGGTGAGTAATAGGAAGCTGACATTGCGCTGGCTGACATAGGCATAACTGCGTAATACAGCTCGAGGTGAATCGCACAGGTAGGCATGCACAGACAGACACGCGCGCACACACACATTTCCAGTGGATTCATTCAAAAGGTCACCGCCACATACAAGCATGCAAATCCACCATCTGCAATAACAAACCAGCAACTCAGAGAAACAACATATGTGTCCGACAACAGAAATACACCAACCAGAAGAGTTTCACTTGGGCTGCACCCCGTCAGCTGGTTTTAATGTCAGTGGACACACCAAGGTGAGGACCACTTTAAAAACTTCATGAGTTCTTCTTTGATGTCTTCATCTTGATGTTTTAGAATAACAATGACAGAGCTGCACTAAAATCCCTCATATAAAATACAACTTGCACCACTGCAAGACACAAGGAGGCTCTTTATGAGTCCCAGCCCACTATAAACTCTGATGGGAATCCCATGTTCGGGTTTTAGACTGCGTATGTGTGCAATAACGAAATATGCCCTAGTTCTTTCTTACTGTACATTTATCTTTATGTATGAAATATCCATAGGCCCTCAGCTCAGCATGTTGGTTGTTTATTCCGGTGCATAAATGAATGTGCTTCTTCTTTATTAGTTTCCATGGTCACACGCCCACATTGAAGCGCTCCCTCAAATTTAGACCAACACTTTGGATTCAACATTACATACAGATAGGTGTCAGAGTAAATCTCTCTTCCACAGCAAATAAACACTGAAGCATCTTATGGGTAAATTGAAGACACCCAGACACCTATTCATTAACCAAAAAAAGCTGGGTGCACCTGTTCTGGGTACACCTCAAATCCACCTGCTCGCATTTGGTTAGTACTGTCAGAAAAGGTGGAAGTCTCTGTACTGACCTGGATTATTGGCCTCCCTTTCCAGAACATGCAGCTCGGTGCAGTCAGCCAAGGAATGCTCCAGACAGAGCTGAAGGAAGCGTGCTTGGGTCCGACTGACCCGCTTGAGGAGCGACAGTAACGCCACCGTCTGTTCGCACTCGTTCCATCCCTTAAACCAGCCGGCAAGGACTCCCACCTGGTCACGAAACATCATGATCTGATGGGCAGGCTCACGGTACCAAGACTTGGGTTCGTTGAGAGGGGGAGAGAGATGGCCGCCACCCAATTACGATGCTTTGCAGCTCAATAGAGAATCACCACGCAGACGTATCCAAAAACACACTTGCTTTCACCTTTACTTGAGGTTTGACAGAAAACAGCCCTTTGAGATGTTATTTGCTAGTGGGTACCAATGAATTGCATCTTTGTTCTTGGGTTTTGGAGTTAGGCTTGGCGGTAGGCTTCCCTGTTTGAAGCTTTTGAGATGGTATTCGTTGGAGCTCTCCAACCCTCTGACCACTTGGGGCTTACAAAACGTTCCTCAGCTTTCCTCCAGCATACAGTGACTGTCCAGCTTTAGTCTTGATGGCATTTTCCACAGAGAACATCTCCTTTCTGTGAAAGTAAAGAGTAGTGATTATACAGTCCATATTTTAGAAGAAATACAAACACAAAATGTGAAGCACTGGTGGAAATTTCATCTTAAAGTTGGCAATTGTGTTTTGGAAGCTGGTTTATGGTCCAGGTAGGTCATACAGCTGTTCAACCAGTTCCAAAAAACAGGCTGACTACCTTAGGCTGGTTTGGCCAGCTGGTAGTCAACTAGCTATTAGACAACCAGCTAGTAGACTATCAGCTGTATAATCTACATATTTTGAATCCCATTGCTGGTTTCGGAAGCTTTTGGAAAGGCGCCACAAGCCTGCCTCTTGAGTCTTCCAGATGAAAATGACAAGTACGTGATATTTCTTCAAAGAAACACGAACAGGTTAACCATTTACAATGAGTTGGCAAATATCACATGGTCTCAGTCTGTGAAACAACTCCACTTTCCTTTCATAAGAAGCCAGAGACCAAAATAAACCTGCTTCATCCAGTGGCGTTTCATTCGTGAATGAATCAGTTTTGAACTAATCATTTAAGAGAACGATAATAATTTGTATCCATTTCTATGCACTGACTCATAGTTCACTAACTGACTATAGTACGAGCAAATTGCTTTAGTTTATTAACTAAATGAAAAAAGACATCTAGTTATGACCTGAATGAGCACATCTCATTCAGGAATGATCAACTAATCTTAAAGGGGTCATATGATGCTGCTAAAAAGAACATTATTTGGTGTATTTGGTGTAATGAAATGTGTTTATGCGGTTTAAAGTAAAAAACAAAACACATTATTTTCCACATACTGTACATTATTGTTTCTCCTCTATGCCCCGCCTTTTTGAAACGCATCGATTTTTACAAAACTCATCGGTCTGAAAAGCGAGGTGTGCTCTGATTGGCCAGCTATCCAGTGCGTTGTGATTGGCCGAATACCTCAAGCGTGTGACGGAAATGTTACGCCCCTCACATACTGTTGATGCCGTTTCCTGGCCGGAGCGACGAGACAAAAAACATTAAAACCCATTACAAACGCATTATGCAAATCTTCCCATATAGTGAAGTAGATATGTGGGGGCGTGTTAGAACGAGCCATTTTAGGTAGGTGTGGCTGACGCTTAACTTTTATAAAGAATATCTCTTTGGATTTGAGACTTTAGTCTTTGCAACTTTACAGATCTTCTTTATGCACCAAGAGCTTGTAACACTCCAAAGAGAAAGGAAAAATTGAAATCGCATCATATGACCCCTTTAATAGTGAAACTCACATTTTGACTGAAGAATATGACATTTTTTTTCTGTAGCCTAACGTATAGCCTACTGAATAATTGGTTACCCTAAGACTAGTAAGATTTGCTAAAGAATAAAGTAGCGTAAACAATAAACTTTGATATAATGCGGATATCAAACTGACGATGTTAGCAGACAATGTTTCGGGCTTGAGCGATTCAATTATTCATTCACACACAAAAAAAAGCCTCCTTCAGCCTGTCAACTCAAATCCGATTTTTGTGCAAATCTGAACGGCAACGAAATGAAATCCGACTTTTGCCACAAAAAAAAAAATTGCACTTATCGCCACCTACTGGCATAACGACGACTCATGCGGAATGAATCAGTGAATTTAACCTTTTTATGAACCGGATTCTCGATTCTGAGATGAGATTAATCAAATCCTAAATTTGTCTAAGAGGTTAGTTGACACATTAGTGGGCACTAGCGAGTTCGTAAAAATGCGTAAACGTTTTTGAGTGATCTTCTATCAAAAGCGCGCGCTGACGTTATTCGCAGGTGAACTGTTAACCGGGAACTCCGCAAGACTAACGCAATCTCAATATCTTTTCTGAGTCCGGTAGGGTGACCTAAATATACACATACCCCCAAAAGCATCAGATGTGAACAAATAAAAATAAACACAGGCTTTCAGTTTCTATTCGCGTCCATACATGCGGCACTCAAGCGATCGTCTCATATAATATCCGAGCGAAATCGCAGACTGTCCAGAACATTCCCAAAAATTGTTGCTCGACTGTCTCTACTGTAAGTCAGCATTCAGTCTTAATTTTCACAACCCTTTACATATGAAGCAATTCCCCACTCTTAAGTCGGCGGTTTGGTGGGTTACCCTGCCTAAATTAATCGAAATGCCCCGTTTATGAGTTATAATTAATAAGCAACCCAAAACTTTTAATAGAACACACGCCTACTGATTTCCATTTTTCATACTCGGAGTTCCCACAGAAAGCTACTGGGGTGGCAAAAAAAGCTGGGACAAGAGATGCTGCAACCCAGGTTTGTACTGTAAAGGCTTAAAATGCTCAGAAGTCACTCACCTAAAGGCGCAGTTGCATTGGTGCTGGTCGCAGGACAGGACTGGACGGGGAGCGGTGCCCCTTCACTCTGGGTCAGTGTGTTTGGCCATCTTGACGAGGTTTTTCTCCCCGCGGTCGGTCGCTCTTGTTTAAGCAGCAGAGGAGAGTCACGGCATCGCTTGACACATGCTAATAATTAACACGGAGCATTACGTCAGAGGCTTGGCAGCACAAGGAAGCACAAAAATAGAGAATGGAGTTGGGGAGCAGATCGTATTGCGTATCCTACTGGAGACGACTGACCGGGGATCAGGGAATTTTGTTTTTAGGGAGAAAAAGAGCCAAGAGGTGTCCGCATCAAACTGGACGATGGAGTGGAAGTTTTGTTTGAACTGTTTAGCGGGGAGGGGATAGTTAAAAAGTCCTGTCCGTCGAAGTCTGAGGATGTTTGTATGTGAAGGGAAGATTGTAATTTTGACCTACTGTGACGCGCTGAAAGTGGGTTAAAAAGTGTGGAAAAAGGAAACTGGGATACATTCGATTCCGCCCTTGAATTCTCTTCATCTGCTGCGAGGCGCGTTGTACTGGCGGATTCCGTCCATGAGATGGCGCTGCTCTACCACAGTTTGAAATCAGATAGATAGATAGATAGATAGATAGATACTGAAGTGTAAGGTAAGTATCATGCAGCTGAATCAGTGAATATACAGCGACTATGGATTTATTTGTGTATTGCCATGCATGTATTGCAAATTTAGAACAAGAATCCTTAGATTTAGACATAAAAAAGACTATTTAAGGATCGCAATGCAGCCCCAAAGTACAAATGAATTGTCATTTAAAAAAAACAGGTTTTACCAATTTGTCAGCATGGTGTTTTTAATCATTTAAAAAAAATAAAAAATAATACAATTTGGTATGATCACTTATTCTTTTATGTATTTGAATAAGTACAGGTCAAAATAAGTGTTTCATTTTTACATAAATATATCTGCACTGAATGAAGATGGAACATCATTTCATACATATTTCGAGATTTTATTTTCACAAAAGTTATTTTAAGCATTAGAATCGATACTTGCATTTAATATGCTTTCTATGTATATAAAATCATTTTTGTAAATTGCATTTGATGCAAACACCAAAATGGGACACCCATCTACTAAATTAAATAATACATACATATATATAAGCAATCAAAACCAACAAAAGAGCAATAATATGCAAGTGCTATGACAAGTCTCAGTCGAATGTAAATGAATAAATATTAAATTATGAGAAAAGATACAGCTCCGAAATGATCAATTATATATAATTGATAATTACACACACACACACACACACACACACACACACACACATTAGGCTATTACACTTAAAATGATAATTTTTAACAGTAGTGCGGTTCTTCCTATATAAGAGGAGAACAAAAGATCAGGCGAATATGATCAGATATCCCTAGGAACCTAAACGAAAGCTGGATTTAAGCATACATACATTTCACTATCAGAAAATAAGAGACTGATGCAGTAGAAACTGGACACCGCCTAATAAAGAAACTAGTCTTTGGCGACATCTTGCGGTGAACTACATGTAGTGCAATTTTCCCTGTTCAGTCTGATGACATTAGAAAGGCTATTTACTTTTCAGCCTGACAGATTCACTGAGAATTTAATATGAGAGTAAAATAAAGCATATTTTGTGACAAAATGCCTTGTGAATATACGTTAGGCTCAGTTATTCATTGTTGCGTGAGTCATCTTAGCAGCAGTGGAGTCACGTCCCACACGTAGCGGCTGATTGAATCGGAAGTGATCTGGGAGTGAACGTGTCTTATAGCGACGTGCAGTTCACTTGAATTACGTCCTAGTACTGTACAGAAACACCGTGAAGGGCGAGCAACTGCGTGAAGATAAGAGAACAGACCCGTTTATGCCGAACTCGGTTCATTGTCAAACGACAATGAAATCCTTCATTCCGTTGGCGCTTTTACTCACCAGCGTCCACGTGACGACAGCAGGATCCGCTGCGCACAGGTGCTTCTGCCAGGTGAGAACATCAACATCACTAACAGGGTTTCATCCTGTTAGAAACTCGTTTTGATTAAATATTACACATGTGACACTAACATAAAAATGAGCGCAGTACTATGTTGTTTTTCATATTTCAATGCATGGTTTTAGAAATGCAGTAGCCTATGTGCAATGTCAATGCCATAGTAAATATAAATATGGTAATCAGTCAGATAAAGGCCTATGGTACATACCTGAAATATCAAGGAAACTATTATTTTAGTGTAATTAAGAAACTATTGTATTTTTTAAATTAATAGCCTATTTTAAATGATTTTTTATAGCTTTTTTTGCGTTTGAATTTTAATTTTAGTTAAAGTCTTTGTAAAGTTTGTATTGTGTTTTGTTCATTAGTTTTTTGTTTTACAGTTATATCTATGTAGGTTATTTTTTGTTAAATCATTTTATAAAGACAAACGCTGCCTTGGCAACTAGATGAAATACAATACGTTTTTGTGTTTTATTTCAGTTAATGTTAATTTCTGATTATTTTAAGTAACAGATTTTGATGGTTTTAGTTGTCATTTTACAATAACACTTAAAATTGTGAATTGGTGGACTGAAAAATAATCCGAATTTTTATAGTAATTATAATTTGTTTCTAGGTATGCTCAGCTCAAATATTTCATCAGCTATTAATATCTCATGGTGTGTGTGTGTGTAAAGTGATTAAATACTTTTTTTTTTTTTTCGAAAAATCATATAAAGTAATCCACAAATGATGAAAATGTATAGCATTGGCAACCATGAAAGTATTACAGGTGCATCTCAATGAATTAGAATGTTGTGGAAAAGTTCATTTATTTCAGTAATTCAACTCAAATTGTGAAACTCGTGAATTAAATAAATTCAATGCACACAGACTGCAGTAGTTTAAGTCTTTGGTTCTTTTAATTGTGATGATTTTGGCTCACATTTAACAAAAACCCACCAATTCACTAACTCAACAAATTAGAATACTTCATAAGACCAATAAAAAAAACATTTTTAGTGAATTGTTGGCCTTCTGGAAAGTATGTTCATTTACTGTACATGTACTCAATACTTGGTAGGGGCTCCTTTTGCTTTAATTACTGCCTCAATTCGTCGTGGCATGGAGGTGATCAGTTTGTGGCACTGCTGAGGTGGTATGGAAGCCCAGGTTTCTTTGACAGTGGCCTTCAGCACTACTTCAGTCTGTGTGCATTGAATTTATTTAATACATGAGTTTCACAATTTGAGTTGAATTACTGAAATAAATGAACTTTTCCACGACATTCTAATTTATTGAGATGCACCTGTATAGTATTACCACCTGAAACCATCACTGTATCATATCATCACAGTATATATTTTTTTTTTCAAATGGTGTTCTGAGACAGATTTTGAATGTCAATTTGCAGATAAACATTGATACGTTTGATTGATTGGATGGTTCAATTTTGGTCATAGGTCACTGGGACTCTTGATGATTGTGCTTGTGATGTTGAGACCATCGACAGGTTCAACAACAAAGAAATCTTTCCCAAACTACAAAAGCTACTGTCATCTGATTATTTCCGGTTTTATAAGGTGAGTTCATTGTTGGTAATAGAGTGAAAATATCAATTTATTGTTTGTTCTTTCATCTCTAATATTCAACATTATGCTCAGGTCAATCTGAACAACCCCTGCCCGTTTTGGACAGACCACAGTCAGTGTGGACTCAAATACTGTGCTGTGAAACCATGCACACTGGTGAGCTTTTCAAAGTTCATTCACTTGATTTTGTCTTGAGTAATTTTATATGGGACTTCATAGGCTCCTTGTGTGTTTCGGTACAGGGTGAAGTACCAGAGGGCCTTAAATCCAGCAGTTATAAGGTATTAGAAAGTCATATAGTGTATATCGTACATATTAGTGTTACTGGATGTTGATTATTTCCCCCCACAGTATTCAGAAGCAGCCAGTCAGGATATAGAGGAGTGTGAGAAGGCAGAGAAACTTGGAGCTGTCAATGGTTCTCTAAGGTATAACATATTTTATTTTTATGTCAGGAATACCCATAATTATTCAGTTTTTGGCCTTGTTTGTGCAAGTTCTCTCTCTCAATGTTTGCCCATGTAGTGATGAGACACGTCAGGCTCTTCAGGAGTGGAAGAAGCACGATGATGAATCGGACCGTTTCTGCATGTTGGATGGTAATCATAGTTTGATCAATTTTGCTTTTTATTTGAGGTGTCTGATTATTGGCAAGTACGTCCTGGGCTGCAGACCAGTATGCTTTAGTCATCCTCCACAGGCTCTGCATCATTGATTTTTTTCTTTTCTTAGATGAGGACTCGCCTAAATCACAGTATGTCGACCTCCTGCTCAACCCTGAGCGTTTCACTGGCTATAAAGGACCAGAGGCCTGGCGGATCTGGAACAGCATCTATGAGGAGAACTGCTTCAAGTAAAGAGTCACCATCACATTTATTCTGACCAGTGTGGAAAAAGTATTCAGTGACCTTCATGGGGTCGACTGTATAAAGAAATTTCTGTCAGTAAAATGATTTCATGTAAAGTTTCTCACACTTTCAAATGAGTGTAGCCTCAGAATAGGTAGCTAACTGTCAACGATGTCTTGTTTTTTTACTTGTTACTCGTCAACATAGGCGGAAATCCCGGGGGGGGGCAGGACCCCCCCATCTGAGGGTTGTCCCCCCTAAAAATATGATTAAAAACCACGCTGTGTATTGTAAATAACAATGTTTTATACTTTAAATAATTGTGTAAGTAGTAAAACAACACAAACGGGGCAAAAATGCGTTTTAAGTTTAGAAACATTTTGAGTTGCCCCCTCCCTTGCCTCACAGTGCTTTGGTCCAAATGCCTGCTTTACTCTTTTACATCACCTACTAGGGCTGTCAAAAAAAAATTTGAATATTTGTCGAATTTAAAATAAAAACCCACATTCGAATGCAAAAACGTTGCATTCGAAGTTTAGGTGTGCGTTAAGGAGGCAGCCTTATCAGTGGCGCACGAGATGCGATGACGATGTAAGTGTCATTGCATTATAATGTTTTTGTTAGCCTATTCAGTTGAAGCCACTAGATGCGGCGCTGCTGCGTTGTTCATTAAAAATATAGCAGAAAAAGAGAACATCAATGCGGAGAAGATCTTGTTTACATCAAAACCGAAGCCAAGCCATTCACACAGAATGCATATTTCACGCATTTTCTAGAGGGACATCTATTATTGTTGCACTCGCGTCTCGCACAAAAGAGCCACATGTTTAGAAAGTCATGTAAAATTAACATAAAAAAACATATATCGAGACTTTATGGTGGGTTTTTCCCCATCCCACTGCATCTCATGTTTTTAAATGAAAAATGTACTCTGTGTGATTGGCTTTCCGCCCTTTGTATTAAACTATACATACATACATGATGCTGTTTTGTTTATAGTTGTTTAAGCAACTTAATTATAATTGGTTTATAAACATTATTTTAAACACTTTTTTTCGCAGATAGTCATGCTATCTTATGCTTTGAATGATGCGCCCTCTTGTGGCCTCAGGAAAGAAGCCAAAAGCTTTTCTTCATCCTAAC